AAAAAAAAAAAAAACGTTTTATTTCAGATGCAACATTTTTCATTTTTATTTAGTTTAAAGCTAAATTAATAAAAACTATACATAAATAGCCCAGAAACTAATAAAAAAGGAGAAAAACACACAACAAAATTAGTACAAATTTAATTAAAATTATGTAATGGTACCTATTTGTGGCCTTTATGTATAAGGCATTATAAAGGTATTCATAATGTATATTATAATGCAGCATTTCATAAATAATTGTAAGAAAAGTATAAAATATTAATAATAAAAGTTAATATGCACTTTTCAAATTCCTTGCTACATATGAAATTGGTTGTTTTCATGTGTTTTAATGAATTATTATTTGATTATATTTATACAATAACAATGAATGGGTAAGTATTATATTATAACTGTGGTTATAATTATTCATGAGATCATACAATGTATTACAAAGCATAATTAATGCATTAAAAGACTTTTATACTTTTAACATTTTTCATTTTTATTTAGTTTAAAGCTAAATTAATAAAAACTTTACATAAATAGCCCAGAAACTATTAAAAAAGGACAAAAACACACAACAAAATTAGTACAAATTTAATTAAAATTACATAATGGTAATGGTAAGTAATAAAAACAGCAAATACTTCTAAATTTCAGCATTTCTTAATACATTTTTAAAATCAAAAGTAGTTTCTGTTAATATTATTTAATGGATCTGAGCTGACATGAACTAACAATGAACAACTGTATTTTTATTAACAAAAATCAACAAAGATTAATAAATAATGTATCAAAAGTAATGCTCATTGTTAGTTAATGCATTAACTAATGGGACCTTATTGTTACCATATAGTGTTACCAAAAAAACTATAATAGTATCTCAGTGATACTAAAATAATGCTGGACAAGTGCAGTTTTTTTTGCATTGACTGGCAAGACATATTAAATATTACATATAAATTAAATAGCCAATAGCATTTAGTTTACGTCACAACCATCTGATTGACAATCAAAAGGATACCCTCTGGAGTCCAAGAACCATAGTTTTGCTGTTTTTATGGAAGAGAAAGACTGTAAATTAAATGCACGTATCTTATAAATGTTTATTTTGTCATGTTTTTGGAATACAGTGGCATGGACTAAAATTCACAAATTCTGATCTCATGGAGTCTTTAAAAAATAAAGATTATCCATGAGCTGAATGCAAAGACATGATAATGTCGCTGTTGTGTTTCTGCGCCCCTGGTATCAACCGTGTAGAATCTTATCATGCAGCCTGTTTAGTGTCAGTATCTTTTAGTCTCAAACTTTCATTTCCTTTGTCTCAGGCACTTTAATAGTTCTCCTAACGCACCTAATCAGCTCATCTTCAGTATACAAGATCTGTCTTGTATTATTCTCTCATAAGCTCTGGCTTGCTTACTTGTTATCATTCTTGGCGTCTTGTACAATTTTCACAGTTATTGTTTTATATTGCATAATATTTCATCGCTGCAGTGTTTTGATTTCTTGCAGACGTAGAGGACAAACCTCCAGTCGCAGTGGCCGGGCAGGACAGAGTCGTTCAACCCAAAGAAGATGTGACTCTGAATGGCATTGAGAGCAAAGACGATAAAAAGATCGTAAAATATGAGTGGGTACAGGTGTCTGGAGACCAGTCGGCTGTTATGACCGTGAGTTCAGGTTCATTATTAGAATAATATTTTCTTAAAAAATACATGAGATTAGTTTTGTAGACAGATATAAATGGTGCCTATGTATGACTTTGTTAAACTACCATTTTAATTATTTTTATCTTTAGATATTTACCTTTACCTATTTGTGGCCTTAATGTATATGGCATTATAAAGGTATTCATAATGTATATTATAATGCATAATTTCATAAATAATTGTAAGAAAAGTATAAAATATTAATAATAAAAAAAGTTAATATGCACTTTTCAAATTCCTTGCTACATATGAAATTGGTTGTTTTCATGTGTTTTAATGAATTATTATCTGATTATATTTATACAATAACAATGAATGGGTAAGTATTATATTATAACTGTGTTTATAATTATTCACGAGATCATACAATGTATTACAAAGCATAATTAATGCATTAAAATAATTTTATAATGCATTACATAGAAAGGCTTCAAGTAAAGTGTTACCGATATTGGTTGAAATTGGTTGTTTTCATGCTTTTTTAAAAATGAATTATACTCTCTAAAGGTGTAACAAAAAATAGGTAAGTATTATAATATAATTAATGTATTAAAAATACTTTTCTAATGCATTATATATATAAAGGCTTCAAGTAAAGTGTTACCGATATTGGTTGAAATTGGTTGTTGTCATGCTTTTTTTTAATGAATTATACTTTCTAAATGTGTAACAAAGAATAGGTAAGTATTATAATATAATTAATGTATTAAAAATACTTTTCTAATGCATTATATATAAAGGCTTCAAGTAAAGTGTTACCGATATTTGTTGATTCTGATTGTCTTAAAGTGTTTTAAAGAATTATATTTCTAAAGGTGTAACAATGAATAGATAAATATTATAATATATTATAAGTGTGGTTATAATTATTCATGAGTTCATACAGTGCATCATTATAAGGCATAATTAAGGCATTAAAATACTTTTATAATGCATTATATATATATATATATATAAAGGCTTCAAGTAAAGTGTTACCGATATTGATTGAAATTGGTTGTTTTCTTGCATTTTAATGAATTATACTTTCTGAAGGTGTAACAATGAAAATATAAATATTATAATAGTATATTATAATTATTGCATTAAAAATATTATAAGGCATAATTAATGCATTAAAATATTTTTTTAATTCATTATATATAAAGGGTTCAAGTAAAGTGTTACCGATATTGGTTGAAGTTGGTTGTTTTAATGAGTTATATTTTCTAAAGGTGTTACAATGAATTACAGGACATAAGGTGCATTACAGGGCATAATTAATGCATTAAAAATAATTTATCATGCATTGTGTATATATAGGCTTGAATGTAATTTTAACCGATATAACCGGTAATGCACATTTCTCATTTTTAATATCTTTTTTTTTTTTTTCAGAAAGGGCTGTTTGTGGATTCAGTAACGGTCTCCAATCTTTCTCCGGGGATGTATAAGTTCAGACTCATGGTCACAGATGACGCTGATCAGACGGGATCAGCCGAGGTGTCAGTTTTGGTCCTGACGCCAGAACAGTCACTCCGTGAGTACATGAAAACACATGTTGTGTGTTTACTTAATTTATTTATTCATTTTTTAACCCTTCTGCTGTGCTGAAAATCCTTTTGGTGTTCCTGGCCAAAAATTGCTTGTAAATCTCTTATTTTGCTGTATTATAGCCAAATTTAGGATTCAATCATCTTGTTTTCTTTCAATTAGCACAGGTTTTGTATTTCTTTTTGGATCTGATTGATCATAGGCCTCATTAAACTGAGCTCATGCACCTCAGTTTTTCAGTCAATATTGCCAAAGTTATCCACAAATAATGTTTTTTTCTTCACTCAAAAACTGACGTGCATAAGCCAGTCAAAAACCTGACCAAAGCCTGATCCGTATGCGTTATGATATTAAAAGCAACAGCTTGCTTTAAAGTAATGGGTCAATGCTGTCATGTTTTCTGATAAGTGTTTCGCAGTCATTTAATCTGATTTCTCACAGTGAAATTCACATGCGCTGTTGACCTCAGATGAGTTCTAGTCCAACAGGTTTTGAAGTGACCTTAAAAATAGTTGTCGGAAAACATGGATTAACCATTTACCAGGATTTGTCAGACTTGAATACATAAATAGTTTCATTCTGTTAACCCAGAATGGTCTTGTTTTCTAAAAACTGATCCCCCCCCCCCTCATACTTCCTATTAAAAGGAGCTTTATCACTAAGTAATTTAAGCTTTGCTTGGTCAAAACGGTCAAATCAGCAGTTTAATGGTTTATTTTTAATTGAAATGATTGAGGAGTTGTAGTTTTGTGACTGATTGCTTGACGTTTCCTAGTTTCAATAGAATTGAGTGTTTCACAAACTGGTGCGGCAGGTTTTACGGTGGGAGTTTCACAGAGAATGACTGAGCATTTGCGAAGCAGTCTAGCTGTAAAATGTAAATCTAGAATCCGTATGAACCCTGAATTGTAGACCAATTCTATTAGTTTTCATGCTGAACAGACATTTACATGACTCTGTATTCATTTGAATTAATCATGTTGCATTTGCATTATTTATAGTGTTTTTGCATTATTTATAGTGTTTGGTTTCGCTGCCTTGTGTTTTGAAAGCGCAGTGTTTGTCTCATCATTGATGGCAAGAAAATGTGTGACACTGACATCAAAAATTAATTAAATATTAATGTTTTTCCAAAGAGTTAAATGCATGTTTATCAACAGCATCTGTGACATGCAGACAGCAAATAATTGAGTACAGTGCGTACAGAACTTAACTTACAATACAAACGTTAATTTTTAGAAACTGAGGGACGAGACATTATTTACTGTTGGTAAATCAACAGCGTGTCAGCATGTGGTCTTTCATGTTTCATCTTGTGTTGTGTAATGTAAGTGATGGTTTCAGTTTTTTTGTTTGAATGAACGTTCATATTTCACATAGTTCATGTGTTCACACACATACACACACACATGGTTATGTAAATGAGCAGTACAGTATTCAAACGACTGTAAAACACACTCAGGAAAGCCGTTCGTGACGTGACAACACATGCATAATTTTTACTAAATCGATGTTATATTTGTATTTGCTTGCTCATTCACAGCTTGACTTTTATTAAGTCATAAATGAAAATTATATTGACAGTGTATTGTTCAAGTAATGAAGCTTTAATTCGAGTTTCCATAAAAGATAAGTGCATTGATGTGACGTTTGATACTGACATTAATTGCATTAAAGTTCTAACGTTACTATCATGTGTTTTGCACTTTGTCTCTTAAAGTCATAACTCACTCTCCACCGCAGAGGTTCGCAAATCTCATTTGCATTTTCACATGCAATTTGTCACATTACAAGACGCTAGAAGCAGCGGCACAAACACGTGTTGATTCAAAAGACTTTATATACAGTATTGCACGCACATTATATCATAATTTTGGTGTTTTATGTCTGGAACAACATAAGAATTAATAAAATGTTACTTGTTCATGCATAACATTTGTTGGGAATAAATAATGAATAAATGACTGATTTTCCTCCCATCAGATCACTGTCTGGTGCCGAAGAAAGAGGGTCCGTGTCGAGGCTCTTTCTCACGCTGGCACTACAACGCCGTCACAGAGAAATGTGAGCAGTTCAATTTTGGAGGCTGCAAACCAAACCGTAACAACTACCTGGTGCTCAACGAATGCCTGAACGCTTGCGACAAAGTTTCAGGTATTGAGCTTTTTCTGGTCATGTTATAAGTGCATGGCAGTTAATTACAGATAAAACTGTCAGAGTGCAAAAAACAAGTAGAAAGTCAGTGAGTATGTAACTACATATACCTAACTCTCTCTCTCTCTCTCTCTCTCTATATATATATATATATACCGTATTGTCCCGAATATAAGACAATGTTTTTTTTCTTGGAAATACATCTGAAAAAACACGGTCGTCTTATATTCAGGGTCTAGACTTTGACATGTCAATAATACACCCACAACAATAGGTGGCGCCAAAACCGCATAAAATGAGTGTGCCATGAAATACGTAATGTAATGCGTGTTGTAAAGATCGCGAGTAAAAACAAAAGAAAAAGAAAACCTTACAGCTGCACGAGTCGTGACTGTCACGTTACCCTGATGGGACCAAACTCCCTTTGTGATTTTAAAACGTAAGACAGTACCCAGATTTGAAGACTACAGTAAGATTTAACTTCTACTGTTATATATATATTAATTAAAATGATATATTATTATATATTCTGCAAGTGAAAATATATTTACTAATTAAATTAAGTATAATGCAAGTGACCATTATTGTACAAAATGTGTGTATAAGTGTTTATTTAAACAAATATAAAATATATAATAGGCATGTAATACAAAATAACTTTTATCTTACCTTTTATAGGTTTATAATATACTTATTGTGAGTAAATATTGTAAAAAATGACTGTCTTTATTAAACCGCAACCCTGTTTTGACCTAAATACATTTACTCATTTAGCAGACCTTTTTTGTTTCAGAAGCAACATACAAATGAGGACAAGCGATTTATTATAATGTACATGATCAGAAATTAGAAGAGCTTCTTTATGTGAAATGTATGCATGTCTGTGCATGCTTTTTTATAATAAATTACACTGTATTTTATTGTCACATTTAATCACACTAACACATTGACTTTTCAAAAAAAAAGGTGCTTTTGTTTTACATTAAATATTTTCTTATTGCAGCTTTTGCTGCAGACCTTTTTTGTTTCAGAAGCAACATACAAATGAGGACAAGCGATTTATTATAATGTACATGATCAGAAATTAGAAGAGCTTCTTTATGTGAAATGTATGCATGTCTGTGCATGCTTTTTTATAATAAATTACACTGTATTTTATTGTCACATTTAATCACACTAACACATTGACTTTTCAAAAAAAAGGTGCTTTTGTTTTACATTAAATATTTTCTTATTGCAGCTTTTGCTCCGCCGCCGCCGTCTGGAAGATTAGGTCCGATCCACGATCAACGTAAGTCCATGCATGCTGATGATTTCAGTTTAATTAGTGTCTAGAATATTCATATAGACATGTGCGAGTGAAATGGTCTTCTGAACACACACACAGGGGAGCAGTGTGACGCGGCTTGCGGTCCAGATCATTTCTCATGTTCAAATAAATGCTGCATCGAGAAAGATTTGGAGTGTGACGGGAAAGCGCAGTGCAGCGACGGTTCGGACGAGACTGAGTGCTCCAAACGTGAGGACAAGCATCAAAACACATGATACATACACATTTTTGACATCGGAAGACTTCAGATAAAGTGCATGAAGTCATGCTTTTATGCTGCTTTATTGTCACTTTTGATCTCAAAAGCCCCTTCTGCTTTCATTTAGTGAAGAACATACAGGACTGAGCTTGAGGGAGTAAATGATGACAGAATTTTGATTGTTATAAATTCACTGTAAACCACGGCTTCCTGGGGCTTATTGCTTTATTTTATTTTATTTTATTTTTTTGATGAACTGTCCCTGTAAATGTACTTTAATTGGAGATTGAAATGAGGTTCGGGTCATTTATTAGGTTTATGTGTGACTGAATAGATTAATTTAAGTTTTTCTCGTCTTCTGTTCAGTGGACAGTAAGTTCCGTCGATTGCTGGATATTCCTGTGGACAAAAGCAAAGGTGATTTATATTTCATATTTTTAACTTTAAATGTATCTCTAAGTATTTATTGATTTATAGTTTTATCTTGGAAAAACTGATCACTGTATTTCATTTTTATTTTGTTAGATGAAAAAAACTAAAATATATATTTTTAAAACATTAATTATTATAATTTTATGTTGAAAAATTAATCAACGTGTTTCATTTATATTTAATTTTTGTTATTATATATGCAAAGATTAAAAATATATTTTTTATTATAATTTTATCATTAAAAACTCATCGTATTTCATTTGCATTTTATTTTCTGTTATGATACATGCAAACTTTAAATATCTTTTAAAGAATTTATTGATTATATATATATATTTTAAAACTCATCACTGTATTTCTTTTATATTTATTTTTATGATATATGCAAACCTAACATACATCATTTTAAATATTTTTTATTATAATTCTATCTTGAAAAACTAATTACTGTATTTCATTTTTATTTTATTGGATGCAAAACTAAAATATATATTTTTAAAACATTTATTATTATACTTTTATCTTGAAAAACTCATCACTGTATTTAATTTCTATTTAATTTTTGTTGTGATATATGCAAACATAAAATATATTTTTGATTATAATTTTATCTTTAAAAACTCATGGTTGTATTTCATTTGCATTTTATTTTCTGTTATGATACATGCAAACTTTAAATATCTTTTAAACAATTTATTGATTATATATATATTTTAAAAACTCATCACTGCATTTCTTTTATATTTATTTTTATGATATATGCAAACCTAAAATACATCATTTTAAATATTTTTCTATTATAATTCAGTATAATTCTGTATTTCATTTTTTGTTACGATATGCAAACATTATATATTTAAAAAAAAAATGTATTGAATATAATTTTATCTCGAGAAACTCGTTACTCTGTTTCATTTATATTTAACTTTCTGTCATGATATATGCAAACTTAAATATTTTTTAATATGTATTGATTATAATTTTATCTTGTAAAGCTGCATTTTATGTTTTAAAAAGCTACAAAAGTTGTATTTGTGTATACAGTATACTCATAGTTTGTGTAAATTAAAATATAAAATACAATTAGGAAATGTTACATATATTTTATTCATCATATGTTCTCATATTTATTGTTTTATTTTTGTAAAGTGTTTTTGTGAAATTAGAGTTTTGTCAGCATGTAATACCTTTTGCCTCCTCAATATTAAATTTCTTATTAAAATGAACATGGATTAATCCGTGATGCATTCATTCTTCCAGTGAATTGCGTGGAGCCGCCGGTAACGGGCCCCTGTCGCGCAAGCTTCACTAACTGGTACTTCAATCCGTATGAACAGCGCTGTAGTCGCTTCAACTACGGCGGCTGTGATGGGAACGAAAACCGCTTTGACACGGAGGACAAGTGCATGCGGTCGTGCTCCGGAGTGACCGGTGAGTTTTACTGTATTATCACTCAACATGGAAACAAAATGGACGTCTTTTCTCATGTGAAGTATTCATTCGTGCATGCTATTGTGAAAAAAAACTTGATTAATTTGAAAATATTTTTAAAGTGAATTTTCTCTGATGTTGTTTCATAGCTGGTCACTGTGTCATGCAAAGAAGATTTTTATTAAGAAAACATGAGACTGTAAACTTACTGAGGTCGTTTTTCTCCTGCAATCATGTGTCTTTTCTTTGTATTTCAGAGTCTGATGCGTTTGCCAGACGAGCTCATTTTGGGAAGCAAGAGAGCAAAGACGAAACGGGTAACGCGCAGGCAAAACACGCTTAAAGGAACACGCCACTATTTTTGAAAATAGGCTCATTTTCCGACTCCTCTAGAGTTAAACAGTTGAGTTTTACCGTTTTCGAATCCATTCAGCAGATCTCCGGGTCTGGCGGTAGCACTTTTAGCTGTAGCTTAGCATAGATCATTGAATCTGATTAGACCGTTAGCATCTCGCTCAAAAATGACCAAAGA